TATATATATACGCGTTGATACGCGTATATGCACACAGGCACTTGAAGCGTTTCAATAAAATATAATGCTGAACTAAAATAACGAAACTATTTACTACCAGGATTCCTAGTTGTTTCTATATCTCTCTATCACCTCTAATTTTATCTGCCGACAGTTTCCTGAAATTTGTCAAAATCCTTACGTTGCACCATATACGTCCTGCAGCCGCCATTGCTCTCGCGGCGCTCCACTGTTGCATGACACTGTCACACTAATATATATCAGGAGTGTACTTAATAGGATATCCCTATTATACACTCCTGATATATATATTAAGTGTTGAGTGTATATATTATATAGTATATAATATATATATATTATATACGTGTATATATGGTATAGTTAGTGATATATATATTTAGTTGCTAATCGCTGCAACAGTGGAGCCGCGAGAGCAATTGGCGGCTTGCAAGCGTAATGGTTGCCACGTAGGATTGGGCGGATTGACCAGGAAACTGTCGGCAATAATAGTGAAGAGAAGTATAGAAACATTTAAGAATTGTGTAGTAGGCTAATAGATTTTCGTATTTAGTTAGCATTATATTTTATTGAAACGCTTCAAGTGCCTGTGTATATGCATACACGCGCGTGCGTGCAGGCCAGATGTAATACAGCCGATCCTATCGCCAAAGAATATACACCCGACCTTTTTCGCATTCCAACTAATAATCCACATCTGCTCGCCATTAATTTCGTAGCGAAATATGCCCGGCTGTCTCTCTAATGAATAAGTCAGCGCTTTTTCGCAAAAACTTCGACGCCTCAGCCGGTTGTGATATCGCCTAGCTGGAAATTGCCCAGCGCATCCTGCCCCGTCGCCATCCGCCCTAGGCATCTTACGTGTATGCGTGGCTGAACGCTCCGTAACTTCCCGTTACAGTACGCACGTCGGTGTTCATCATTCAAGAGTGCGGAGCGTACGTCGTGGGGTGTGCTGTGTGTGTGGTGTGGTGCGCGATGTGTGGGTTGCGCGTCGTGGTGGTAGGGTGAGGGAGGGGGGAATAGTGGAAAATTATTATCTCGGAACCGGACGGCCGCGTGATTGGATAACCACAACTATAAGTCGAACTGAGGCCAGTACAACGGGCAAGCAGTTTCATGCCACTCTCCCCGGCCCCTCAACGAGAGCGGGAGAAGCAGCATTCGATGTCGACGGAATGAGACTGATCGGAGTTTTAAAAGGGGATCGAATGAATTTCCCAGAAGAGGAACAAACAGCGAGTGCCGCGTGTGGTTTATCTATCTGCGCTATTCTTCTACTGACGCATATATACAGCGAGGCGGGCACTTGCGGTGAGTAGGGGCTATGCATTACACGACGCTTCTCCATTACCTCCAAAATCGTCATCCTCGTTAGAAAGCTCTGACGACAGAGAAACCGCAAAACATGCGCTGTGGCCAGCACCTGTACACTCAATATAGACTGCACCCCGTCACTTGGTCCTGCGGGATCGACGAGGCCGACACACGAAACGATTGACAAGTCTGTCGGGTCGGCGATCCTTGTCTTGGTCGTAGTCGCGTGCATGCACTGATGCGGAAGGGTCCCTCAACCTATTTCCACATCAAACTAGGAAGACTGTGTGCAGACACAAGTAGCAGCAGTGGCCGCAGCAGTTAGCAGCAGCATGCAACCACCAAGAAAATAGCAGCAGCAGTAAGCAATCAGGCATCAGGCAGCAAGCAGCAGCAACAGCCACGCAGCAATGCAGCGAGCGAGCGTGCAGCAATCAAAAACAGCAGGCAACCAACAGCAGCAATGGCAGCAGCAATGGCAGCAGCCAGGCAGCAAGCAGCGAGCAGCAGCAACACCGACAAACAGCAATGCAGCAGCACGCGGCAGCAGCAAACCTGGGCAGCAGCAATGGCAGCATACGTGGCATGGCCGCAGCAAACCGGCAGCAGCAGCAAGCATCAGCAATCGCACAGCATCAACAACACAGCAACAGCAGCAGCAATGCAGCACGTAGCAACAACAGCCAGCCAGTGCAGCAACCAACAGCAGCAGCACAATGGCAGCAACAACAGCAGCCAAGCAGCAACAGCAGCAGCAATGGCAGCAGGCAGCAGCAGCAGCAGAGCACGCAAGCAGCCAAGCAACAACATACAAGCAGCAGCAATAATCTGCAATTACGGATTTCGAAAGAACCTCGCGTGCACGTCGGGAAACACGAGATTCTCTATTTAGGTTTAAACAGAACCTCCTCTTATCGCACACAAACGCGAAGCCCCGACGGGAAAGGGAACACGCGATTACATGTCTGTCTAGTCCCTGGGAATCCCTATGATGGGAGTTACAGCTGGGGAAGGTGTAGCATCTATTCAGCGGCTGCCTTAGTTAACCTACTCTTGGGGGTGGCAGACTAGATGACTTAAGTGTCCTTCGCCACTCCCGTGCAATTGTACTTCTACATGTAGTAATTATTTCGTTTATAACGATGTACTCTGTATTTATGTATGTCTTATGCACAAATAAACCAGTTTGAATCTTGAATCTTGAATCTTGTGGCATCGCTCTTTACATTCAGTACACCGGCACCGGTGATGTTATACTAGCCGAGCATTGCATCCATCAGTAAACATAAACATAACTCCCATAAACATAAACAAAGGAGCTGGCAACTATAAATGCACGTACGAGACGGAAAATCTGTATCCGGCACTACGTTTTCGCTTGCGTATTTAACCGCACCAAAAATATCGCGCCTACGTATCGTAGCATAAATAGTGTGAAGTGATAAATTTTTGCTCGGCGCTAATAACGAAATCGGTGGGTAAAAACAGGACGTTTTCGTCCCCCATTGACGGCTTTATGGCGGTTTTTCTACAGTTTTTGGCAGAAATCGCAGATTTGCGATTATGTTATCAGCTAGCACAGCAGCTGGTCGGTTTGTTCGTTTACCACAAGCTCCTACTCTTCGTCATTATCATCGTCATCGTCATCATCATCATCATCATCATCATCATCATCATCATCATCCTCCTTCTTCTCCTCCTCCTCCTCCTCCTCCTCATCATCATCCTCCTCCTCCTCCTCCTCCTCCTCCTCCTCATCATCATCATCCTCCTCCTCCTCCTCCTCCTCCTCCTCATCATCATCATCATCATCATCATCATCGTCTTCTTCTTCTTCTTCTTCATCTTCATCCATGCTCAGCTGCGAAAGACCCCGAACCGACGTGTCACGCTAACCCCTCCTAGGGGAGAGGTGAGGCTCGCATGCTAATTATCCGTGCATGTCATCCCCATCATCATGAGAGTATAATTACGCACATCTGCCTGTACGATCCAACGTCCCTTATCGTGTCCCCCCTTGCCGCTTGAACATGCGAGACGCGCCCTCCCTTCCACGCTCTGTACCGACGCATGGAGGAATGCGTCGTGTCTCTATCGACGGGGGCTGTACGTAGGGTTACAGCAACAACCGAGTCAACGACTTTGTCTCCTTTTTCAGATAGAATGTCGGGGTTTAAATTCGCTAGCGGAGAGCCCCCCAGCTGCTGCCGCTCGCCCCCCACGCAGCCTCCCGGAGAGATTTGTTTCACGGAAGATGACTAGGAAGCCATGCGAAACAGTGAAAGCAGACCGGCCCGATTGCCCCAGCTCGCCGAGAAAAAAAAACGCACAGGGACTGAGAAATCACAACACGAGATTACGCGAAAACGCCAGACGCCTTTAATCTGTTTTTTTTAAACTATGCTTCGTTACGGATTTACGAATTCGATGGATGCGCATCACCTGTTGTTAGTGTTACGTATAATGCAGGCCGTTATCAGCAGCGTCTTAAAACCAGTGAAAAAAATACACGGGGGCTCGGGGCGATTTAGCCCCCGAAATGCCAAAAAGAACCCCGGAAATGCCAAAAAGAACCCCGGAAATGCCAAAAAGAACCTCCGTAAATGTAAAATGCAAACACAATTTTAGAGTGCTATTTTCATCCGCGCGAGCTTGAAAAGTAGCCCCCGAAAAATAAATTTTAAATCTAAAATTTTAAAAATAAAATATTTTTTCCCTGCTTAAGACACTGACGTCCGTTCTGATCAACACACCCTTCGTTATGACATCACGTACATCGGTAAAGCCACCAGGGGGTCACGGGTCTATACTATCAGAGGGTTAATAATGACATATCTGTCAATGTCAAATTTGTCATTATTAACCCTTCATAGTATAGATGTATAAGATAGTACCAGGAGTGAATAATAATATATTATTATATCTAGAATTATTCACTCCTGATGCAATTACGGCTGTTCAGTAACCAGAGCTAGACTCAACTTCGCTATGGTCCGACTATCGTTAGTTGGAACGTACTATAATCTGAGGTGAACGGACTGAAACTGAAACTTAGCCGCACGCGTATATACACGCACCATCCCGCCACCACCCCCCGTATATACACGCACCATCCCGCCGCCACCCCCCGTATCGCATTTATGCGTGGATGTGTTGTTTACGGCGTAGGGAGAGAGAGAACACAGGGTCACCTTCCACAGACTTCAGCCAGATGTAGACGGTGCGACACGGGTTTATAAATATGTCAAATATTTATTACACATCATATATATATATATATAAACGCCCGCAAACACGTTGGCTTTCCACATGCTGGTCTAGACGTTATGTTCCCGCAGCCTCGTCCTCTCGAATCCTAGCATGCACATAGGGTTAATATCGCGAGCGCATAGTGATATCACATTTGATACCGTGTGAGTTATATGTGAGTCGTGAGAGTTCATGATGTACTAACTGTTGATGTATATGTGTCTACTAACTATATTTCGCCTTCGAGTTTGACAGACAGGACGCAGGCGCGCTCTACGGCCTACGGGATGCTCACTACAAACCCAGCTCGCTTGCTATCAACAAGGACGCATGCTAGCTACTCACGTGCTCACAGTCGTAGCTACCACATAATATCAAGAGCGGATAATACCGTATTATCCGCTCTTGATAATATATAATAATATATGGCCGACCGCGCGGTCTACCGAGCATGCGGCGTAAACAAGGGATCTCTAGGGACGAGCGCTACCTATAATGCAAGCAGTAATGCAGGCAGTATTCGGGGTGCGGGGTGTCTGTCGTCTGAAAGCCTTATAGGCAAACGCACACGCGCGCGCTGACCTTGGCGATCACACACACGCCACCACCCATCACTGATCGTCTACGCATGCTCTAGAAAAACCTGCAGAAGCATGGCAGGAGGGCCCTGCGAGCGAGAGCGGAGATATCATCCCATCACACGATCACAACTTGGGATTGCAATAATCTTTGCGCGTGCCATAGACGGACGTCTGCAAGACAAGAACGAAAAAAACACGGAAACAATTACAAAAGAGACGAGGCAAGATGGCTGCCGTGCACCTTTCTTCCTCCACCTCCCGCGTTGTGGTGGAGGAGGAGGAGGAGGAGGAGGCAGGAGGAGGCGGAATAATGCACACACGCACACAGCATATATCACCAAGATCAAATAAACTAGTTATAGTTATGTTCTTACATAAACTATAATAGTTTATGTGTTCTTGGCACCACCTAACACACAGCATATACGATGTAACACACAGTAGGGCCTACATACCACTGCAGACATAATAATGCACGGATATTATCTCACATCCACATTATCAGGAGTAAGATAATAGAATGGATTAATAAAAACACATTGATTTATTCAATTTTTAACTTGTATTTTTTCACTGATATTCCATGTTTTATTTTACTCCTGACACTATACAGTATATTAATTACGTTTGTACACCGACATAGACAACACAATTAATGCAAGAGTGCCTTGTGCGTTGTGTATTGCATCTATGTATGTGTTTATATATGTACACGCATTTATATATATATATATTTGTACCCTATAAGTGAGCAAGTACATTGTATTGTATATTATCGGATTTACAACTAGGCTACACCAACACGTCGAACATAGACTGCGGCTCGTATGCAGCTTCGCTTACATCTACGTAATCGTAGGCTCTCGGCGTCACTCTAGGATTCGTTCTATGCGGCCGAACGGTGAGCGGTGGCGACGGTGGCGCCACTGCGGGTCGCGTCGAGTACGGGTTGGCGCTGTTGCAGCGTGGGTCGATGGGCGTGGTCTGCGGCAGGGTGGGGCGGCGGGTGTACGGGGTCGTGCTGATGCTGCGGGAGGTGGGGTCGGCGACGTAGCGCGGCTGTTGTCGCGTCGGCATCGTTGTGATGCCACCGTTCAACTGCTGGTGGCTACCTCCCAGGTGACTGGTGGATCGCATCGGTGGAGCAGGGGGGTTGCGGATTCTGTCAGCTGTAGCGGAATAGTAACACGTTACGTTCGTAGAAAAGACAACAAAGTTGAAGACAACAATAAAAAACAAAGAAACGACAACAAAGTCTGTAGAGAAGACTGTAGAAAATTACAATTACAAAACAAATCGAATTTATACACAATACAACTGTTCCCAAACAGATTTTCTAATAGGACCAACATCACAATTAAGCAAGGCTCGCAGCTCTACACATGAAGTCAACATCGAAATTACAGCACTGCCCGACCATGGAACAGCACAAGCTGACCATGGAACGGCACAAGCTGACCATGGAACAGCACAAGCCGACCAGGGAACAGCACAAGCTGACCATGGAACGGCACAAGCTGACCATGGAACGGCACAAGCCGACCATGGAACGGCACAAGCCGACCATGGAACGGCACAAGCCGACCATGGAACGGCACAAGCCGACCATGGAACGGCACAAGCCGACCATGGAACGGCAGACGCCGTCCAGCATACCAGCAAACTTCGATCGTCTGCTACGTACCTTGCGCGGAGGGACTCCTGGCGGCCATGTTGGCCTGTGACGACTGCAGCCGACTGTAGGTCGTGTACGGGTCGGGCGTGCCTCGCGCGTACCCGTACCCGTACTGCTGCCGCCGCAACGCCTCCGAGTAGTCCTCCACGTCCGACTCGGCCTCCTTGTAGGCGGCGCCACCGTGCTGCGCCGCGTAGGCATCGCGGAACGTCTTGTAGGTGGGACTCGTTCCGTGGTAGATGCTCGCCTGCTCCAGGGTAGCGTCGTCCAGGTAGAATCCACGGCTGCCGGCCGCCGGACGGTCCCCGTAGTGGGCGCCACTTTCGGAGAAGTCGTCGCGAGCGAGGTCGTCGACGTGACTGTACATCTCGACGGTGTTCGACTTGGTGTCCGTCTCGGCAGCGGCCGCTAGGGGGCGAGAGACGTTATTGATTTACGTTAATTTGTTGTTTAATTGACGTTATTCAGATATTATCAGGAGCGTATAATAATATATTATAATAGTATATAATAGTATATAATAATTATATATTAATGCCTGCTGTTGGGGGCACTATTCCTTCCCAAAGCAACACTATGAGAGCATAGTGCCCCCAACAACAGGCATTAATGTTTTTAGTGCATCACATGACTATGCAATCTACTTTTCATGCGTATATACCTTCTTTATACTCCCTAATTTGCCGGTGCATTCGATGTAACAAAACACTCGACACAAACACAATCGCCATTAATTCCAAAATCTTGCGTGGCGCCCAGACGCAGGAGATTCGTGACGTAAACACAATGCTAAGGCGGGCACTATCTCTTCATAATGCCTGCTGCGTTATCCAATGAGATTGCAGCGATTCATCACGTCATGCACTAATAGTATATAATAGTAGATAATAATATAGCTATTATTATTCACTTCTGATATTATAGGGGAGACTTTATTGAATTTAAGGATGCACGGCAGGAAGACCGTTTGTCATAGAATAATGCGTGTGGCGTTCTGCGTTCGCCTGCGTACGCCAGCCTACGTTGATGGATGAATGAAGGTTAAAGACAAGGAGTGAACTCGATCTTCAGATTAAAATACTAAATATTAACGAGTGATAGACGGAGATTTGGTCGCATAATACGAAGAAATCACATATTGAACGTCTAAAATAAACACAACTGTTCGGTACGCATCCTTCTCTAACAAACCGCGCACCACTGTGATCGACAACAAGCTTCACAGAATATTCCCAAACAGAATGTATAGTTATCGCGATGACCCTGCCTATTCGTCACAGTTATATCTCCCTATCGATCCCTCAGTCTGTCAACATTCCCCTACCCCCAATAAGATGACTAATTCCATTCCCGGGAGTACGTCACATACGGTCATTATTCTGCTTCTATATATTAGGACCTTTGCTCTTAACGTGTCCATGTATATATTAACTATCTCTGTATCCGTCATTACTCTTCCGCGGTTACAGCTTAATTAATGCGTTAATCACTGCTATGCTGTCTCTACACCGATAATGATGTTATTGCCAATGAAACCTATTGCTCGTATATACCTGTAATATATTCTGCCTTTATAATTCTCTGGGTTATTCCAGAGTAATTCTCTGGATTTCATCCAAACATACTTGCAAATAAACAAAACATCTTATCTTAAAATGCATCGCGACTGCTCGCCTGCTTAGCTCTCCGTCCCCAGAATGAATGCACATGTAAGTGGCTGAAGTATTCGTTAAACCGGAGCAAGACTAATGTGCCGCTCCGTTCTGTTTTGAGGGGAAGAATCCATCAGGATTCTATCCGTATCCACAAAGGGAAACTGCAGCGTTGATGACGTCATCACGCCAAATAATTAAAGAAGGCGTTCATTGTGATTAGACTCACTATATCATTTTCATTCTAGTTACAGTTTTATAGATTGTCATACATCTATGCTTGTTCAGAAGGATGTGTAGCCAGTTTATTTTTTTCCGAGAACTCGCAATTTCAGAGACCCACAGGAGGTAGCAACGCGCAAAATGTCCATGAAAGCGCAGTTCCCAAAACAAAAGAACCTACGCGGTAAATGAATCGTTAGTGACCGATCAGGGCTAGGGATTAGAGGCAATGATTGATCCCCGTAAGCTGGGTTTACACTATCAACTTTCTGTTGAAAAGACTATCAACTTTTCAACTAATCGACCGAAAGTCGGCAGCGTAAACGTAAATAAATTGTAACGTAATAATTTCAGCTCAACAAGCTGATATAGGAACTAGTTGAGCGATTAGAACATGTTCTATTTTGCTCAACGTTTGGTTTAACGTTTTCAACAATGTTGAAACGTTTGCTGATTCGCGATCGATAACGTAAAAACTTTAAACATCTGATAGAAAGGTTAGAAGATATAACGTTGAAAAGTTTATCCACTCGTTGACTTTTCCATAGTGTAAACACAGGGCAAACGGTCGCACTGCATGGTCAACGCTCTGTTTGCCTATGTAATCGCACACCGTAAAGGTTCCGACAGGGTCTGGGGAATGCCTGCCGTGAATTACACCGAGTAGCCGCCCGAGCGGGCTAATAACCTCCACTAGCAGTATCCATAAAACTACACGTGTTTTCACTCAATCTACACACAACGCATCCAACTGCCCGTAACCCCGACTGCATGGGAAATGCCCGAGACGCCCTGCTGCACATATTCAGCGCTGCCCTACTGTTACAAAGATGCATGTATTACCATAACGGCTTCACGGCAAGCCTTCGCCTTCTCTCTATACGTGCGTCTCGCTTTCACTTCTGCGGTTCTATCGCGCTCATATCACACTCACTCTCTGTATATCTGTATCACGCTCACTCTCTGTATATCTGTATCACGCTCTCTCTCTGCATATCTGTATCACGCGCTCTCTCTCTCTCTCACTCTCTCTCTCGCGCTCTCTCTCTCTCTCTCTCTC